CGTAATAGGCAGGGTGAAATGGGGGTGGATTGGTAGGCGAGATTGAAATAAGGTGATATGTTTAGTGGATTATGGGTATTGAGTAACGATTGCCAGAGATGTTTGGATTGACGAAAATGAGCCGTTGCAATATGAAACTAATATAGTGAAGATACTCCGTGGTGTAGTGGTAAGACACTCGCCTGGCGTTCCGCGAGCGCTATGTCATGGGTTCGTATCCTGGCCAGGGAGGATTTACTGGGCGCCTTAACTGTAGCCTCTGTTTAACTCAACAGTAAAATGTGTACTTGGTTGTAACAAGGATTCTTCGCGGCGGGGATCGTATTCCAGGGACCTGCCTAAACGCTACGCGTACTAGTGGCTCTACAAGAATGTAACAACTCTTGTATAATTTTTTTAAGCATATATATATCTCTTACAGTTTGAAATCATGTTGACATGATTCAAACATATCTCGTAGGAAACTGTACCGTGTATGTATTAAAATTACAGGTATTAAAGTACGCAAAATCTGTCTGCTTTAGTCATTGTCTTGAGGATGGAGGCTTATTTATTTTGTAAAGGGTAAGAATGATAGGAAAAGTGCTGGTGTTTGGAACAAGTGTTGGCGTTTGGAACAAGTGTTGGTGTTTGGAACAAGTGCTGGTGTTTGGAACAAGTGTTGGTGTTTGGAACAAGTGCGGGTGTTTGGAACAAGTGTTGGTGTTTGGGACAAGTGCTGGTGTTTGGGACAAGTGCTGGTGTTTGGGACAAGTGCTGGTGTTTGGGACAAGTGTTGGTGTTTGGGACAAGTGTTGGTGTTTGGGACAAGTGTTGGTGTTTGGAACAAGTGTTGGTGTTTGGAACAAGTGTTGGTGTTTGGAACAAGTGCTGGTGTTTGGAACAAGTGCTGGTGTTTGGAACAAGTGCTGGTGTTTGGAACAAGTGCTGGTGTTTGGAACAAGTGCTGGTGTTTGGAACAAGTGTTGGTGTTTGGAACAAGTGCTGGTGTTTGGAACAAGTGTTGGTGTTTGGAACAAGTGTTGGTGTTTGTGACAAGTGCTGGTGTTTGTGACAAGTGCTGGTGTTTGTGACAAGTGCTGGTGTTTGGAACAAGTGCTGGTGTTTGGAACAAGTGCTGGTGTTTGGAACAAGTGCTGGTGTTTGGAACAAGTGCGGGTGTTTGGAACAAGTGCGGGTGTTTGGAACAAGTGCTGGCGTTTGGAACAAGTGCTGGTGTTTGGAACAAGTGCTGGTGTTTGGAACAAGTGCTGGTGTTTGGAACAAGTGCTGGCGTTTGGAACAAGTGCTGGCGTTTGGAACAAGTGCTGGTGTTTGGAACAAGTGCGGGTGTTTGGAACAAGTGCTGGTGTTTGGAACAAGTGTTGGTGTTTGGAACAAGTGCTGGAGGAAAGTCACTTTCCCACTCTTCTGCTGCTTCCTCTTGGAGTGTGTCTTTGATTATAATAAAAATATAATGGGTAAAATATGGGAGAGTTTGACTGAAGGTTATAATGGTAGTTCACCACAAAATTCTATAATAATGGTGATCTAACTGATCTTTTAACACGACAATTTTATTACAAAGAGGTGAACAGATACCTACGGATAGGTGAGTGCAAATAGGTGGTCTGGTGGACCAGTAGTAGTTAGGTGGGTACAATAAGGCGAGGGCATGTAGGTGGGTATGGATAGGTTAATGGGGGTACGAGATGTAAACACAGACGAGGGTAAACCCAGGTATTAGTAAACCAGCTCCGGGAGCTGGTGTAAACCCAGGCAGCATCACAACAAAGGTGACCTTGAAGGCTTAAATTAAATACCCCGGAAAAGGGGAGTTTTTCCGTCACATATTCAGGTACATAAGTATATGTGCACCTGCCCTCAGGCCAGATTCACGAAACAGTTACGCAAGCGCTTACGAACGTGTACATCTTTCCTCAGTCTTTGACGGCTTTGGTTACATTTATTAAACAATTTACAAGCATAAAAACTTTAGAATCAATTGTTATTGTTATAAACAGCCTCCTGGTGCTTCGGAGCTCATTAACTGTTTAATAATTGTAAACAAAGTTGCCAAAGATTGAGAAGATGTAAAGGTTCGTAAGTGCTTGCGTAGCTGCTTCGTGAATCTGGCTCCTGGACTATAAGAAAGGGGTACATAGTGAGTGTGACAGTATTCAGTAGACCATAAAGCGACCATACGAGTCACAAATACTTATACCCCGCCTAAGTAAATAAACAACACACTTAGTAGGCCAGTCAGAGGCTTAGGGCCCACGCAGGAATATCCCTAGAAAAAAATACCTTTTTTTAATACATGAGGTACATGCGCAGCTGCCCTAGACTATATGAAGTGAAGTACAGTGTGTAAAAAAAGCTAACTAGGTGATGCTAAAAATCCCCATCACACAGGATGGTTAGTCATACAGAGGCATGTGATAGGCAGTCTGCACTGGCAGACTCTGGGTGCATTATGAGGATATCTTCAAGAACACGAGAGTGAATAAAGTAATTGCAAAGCTCCAGATACCTCATGCCAACTGGTCTGAAAGTTCTAATAACTGGGCATTCAGTGATGTGGTGTGGGAGATCATGCCGCAGTTCCTGCTCACAGAGTTTGCACCTGGAGTGCTTAGGATTGGGAGATCCGTCACCTGTAGCCACCTGCCACAGGTAACGGTAACCCAACCTGATCCTTGCAACCACTGTGTCGCACAGTCTGGTCGACGTTTTGTGCTGTCCATAGATGTAGGTTTCAGATCTGAACAAATCATAGCTTTTTATACTAGAACTTTCAGGTCGTTGGGAGTCAGTAAGTTCTTTCCTATCAGATCTGAATGTTTGGACCAATACAGTTTTGACAGCAGAGATGGGGATACCTAGATCTAATTCAACTTCAAACTTGTTACACGCTAATTTGGTTGCAATGTCTGTCTCATTATGATGGGTTATATTTATGTGTGAAGGTATCCATACAAAGGAGATTCGAGACCCTTTACTCTGTGCATCAATTAGGTCATTTATAATTGGTAGTATGAGGTTCTTGCTGTCGATCTTCCAAGAAAAGTTTTCGATTGCTTGAAGAGCAGACTTTGAATCACAGAATATTATTCCTCCTCCAATATTTTTTAATGTACTGGTTGCTAAGTGTAATGCTGCTAGTTCTGCTTGTGTGGAGGTCAGCCAGTTGTTTAACCTGACACTGACAGTCTTTATGCAAATATTATTTCTATAAAACCTACATGCTGCTGCAGTCCGTCCAGTAGAGGACTGGACTGAGCTGTCGGTGTAGACACAGTGCTCGTGAGATCTTAGACTCTCGATGGAGGAGGCAATTGTTTCAAGAGTGACAGCTTTGAGAAGAGCAAGATTCTCATTACCTTTCTCGGTGACAGGTGTGTATGATACTTGAATGGTGGGGTACAGATAAAGAGGAATATCAGAGACAGGTAGATTGCACTTATTAAAAGGAATGTTACGCGTAGTACGCGTAGCGTTTCGGGAAAGTCCTTAATCCTACGGTCCCTGGAATACGATCCCCTGCCGCGAAGAATCTTTTTTTCATCCAAGTACACATTTTACTATTGCGTTAAACAGAGGCTACAGTTAAGGAATTGCGCCCAGTAAATCCTCCCCGGCCAGGATACGAACCCATGACTTAGCGCTCGCGGAACGCCAGGCGAGTGTCTTACCACTACACCACGGAGACTTAACGCGCACACATGCGCGCCCGCTTGCTCTCACATTCTCACTCAATTCCCCTTCCACCATTCTCTCACACCTGTGCCTCTTCCATGTTTTAATACACACAACGTTGCGTGCAGGAGCCTCGCGTGCGGCCAAGACCTTGACAGCAGCTGTGTGGGCCTTGCCTGCATCACTTGGCCGCCGGGGAGGAGACACTGCCAGCTTTCCTTATAACCAGTCCTCTTGTATTTACTATTTGTATCTCCAGAATCAAGCTATTAGCTCTTGGACTCCGCCTTTCTAACCAATTTATTCTCCTTTTATTATGTCTACTATATTTATTGAGCGCGCGCCATGAGGGGGTCTGGTTGCTGAGAGGACAGCGTACAGGACTCGTAACTCTGTAAGGGTTCTATTGTTACGTAAAGTATGGTGACAATAAACACACACTAAGATACTATATATATATTTGGTCGAATACACAGAAGTACACAGGTGATACTTTGGTGTGAGTTGAGCGCACTGAGCGTCGGTACAGTATCTCGCAAGTGTCTGCTCTAGACCACACTTGAAAGTAGACTAGTTAATGTTTGATTGATGATTGATGAAGATTAAGCCACCTAAAAGGTGGCACGGGCATGAATAGCCCGTAAGTGGTGGCCCTTTTGAGCCATTACCAGTATCAATAGCTGATACTGGAGATCTGTGGAGGTGCGACTGCACCCTGCGTGACGGGAGATGTCTCCCTAGTTAATGTTTGCTATTCTGCTGCTTATATGCTCGGGCAACACCTCACCGTGTTGCCCGGGCAACGCCTCACCTCATTCATCTCCAAAGGTTGACAGGAATATTAACAATGCATTTGGAGCGAGTATATTATTGGGATAATCTACTCGCTACAACTCTGTGGCCCGGGTTCGATTCTCGGACTAGACAGAAACAAATGGGCAAAGTTTCTTTCACCCTGTTGCGCCTGTTACCTAGCAGTAAATAGGTACCTGGGAGTTAGACAGCTTGTACGGAGCCGCTTCCTGTGTGTGTGTGTGTGTGTGTTGGGGGGGGGGGGATTAATAGTCACATTTGATTGGCTGACAGTTGAGAGGGGGGCGAAAGAGCAGGGCTCAACCCCCGCAAGAACTAGGTGAATACAACCCCCCCCCCCCCAGAAAGCAGCCCGTAACAGCTATCTCCCAGGTACCTATTTACGGCTAGGCGAACAGATGCATCAGGGTGAAGGAAACTACCCATTTGTTTCCGCAGAGGCAACTTAGAGATTGTGTTCAGAGTAGCCAAATATAAAACGTCTTCATCTGTTTGGAGATGAAGCCCAGATGTTCGGGGCTAGTCTCATTAAACCTTACAGGGTTAAAGGTGATTGTCTAATGTGTCATTGGGGGGGGGGGGTCGACCCAGGGCCCACCTGAAGGGGGGACTCGGGTCGACCCAGGGCCCACCTGAAGGGGGGACTCGGGTCGACCCAGGGCCCACCTGAAGGGGGGACTCGGGCCGACCCAGGGCCCACCTGAAGGGGGGACTCGGGCCGACCCAGGGCCCACCTGAAGGGGGGACTCGGGCCAAATGCCCCCCCCCCCCGCCTCCATGGACTCTGGACAAGTGTTTAGTTCAGGGTTCACAGATTTCAGCATTTGTCTAAAAAAAAAACATGTTGAAGGTAACCATTTGGCCACAGTGATGGGTAATGTGTAAGGTAAAGGGTTAGTGATAGTGGAGATAGGGAGGGGGGGGGGGCAGATATCTTGCGTGTGGAGAGAGGTAAAAGGGGGGAGGGGCACTTACCCCTCCACACACGCAAGTCCTTCCCCCTCCCTCCTTCCTTATCTCCACCATCACTACCCATGGTGGTGGAGAGAGGAAGTGGGGGCGTGTTGAAGAGTGTGGGGGGGGGAGGGGGGCGGGGAGTGTTCGTGTTGGGGGAGGGGGGAGGGAGGGGGGCGGGGAGTGTTCGTG